GATAATAAAATCAAAGCCACATCTTTAGACAGATATTCGAAGAAGATCCTGAGCTTATTATAAGGTGTTGGTAACGGAACTCACCAATTTGTACTTCTTGTCCTCTTGTGATAATCGACGCCATATCTCTCCTTATGCCAATTATTTCCACTTTCTCCATCTATTTTGGCACCCTGACTCAGGCTCTTCTTCTCCGACCAGTCCTTGTAGCGTACGCGATCTTAAAAGCTTTGGCTAAAGAAAAGCATTTCGCAAAAATACCCAGGAAATAGTAAGTAATGAGACTCACTTATGTTTTCATGGTTTGATGAGAGGAAATTGACAAATAGATCCTTTCATTATTATTTGAGCCAACATGGAAAGTGGTCTGGTAACGGCTCAAGTACAGCCCGATACACGCGTTTCGTCCTTACAGACTCGTCAGTTGGGCGTAAGCCGTTGTGTTTCGATCTTTTAATTGATCAGTTCTCTCGAGAGCCTACTCTCTCTACAGAGAGGTATCGAAGACGAACGTTTTACACTCTATCTCAGGTGAAATTTTTACCTAACACAGAGTGTTGTTCACTCGACTGTCCTTTAGCTGGTATTTTTGTTATATAATACCTTTATTTAGAGTGTTTTATCAAGACCATGCTCAAGTTTCAAAAACTCCTCTCATTTTGTTTGAGCCAACATGCCCTGTGGTCTGGTAAGGGCTCTTGTACAGCGCCGATACACATGTTTCGCCCTTATAGACTCATCAGTCGGGCAAAACCCGTCGTCTTTCGATCTTTTTATTAGTCAGTTCTCTCGGGAGCCCTACTCTCCATACAGAGAGGTATCGAAGACGAACACTTTACACTCTATGTCAAGTGAAATTTTGACCTAACACAGAGAGTTGTGCACTCTATACAACTTCCTGTGCAACTCACGAATAATCAAATTACTTCGTTCTTTCAATGAATCAAAAAGATACGCTCACTTACCTTTGTGGCATGATTGACTATTGGTTCTGCTTCCACTACGCGATGAATTCACGCCATCTCCCTCACCCTTAGTATTCGAGCGGCGACGCTGGCGATTATTGTTCTGGAATGTGGTCATCTTCAACCCTTGTAGCCCCAACGAGCTTACAGGTCACCCCTACGGTGAATGAGTTTCTTAAGCTTTTTCTGAAGCCTATCGCAACAAACCTCACAGATACATCGCCTCAATCAGCCCTCATATCTGGAAGCTCTATCTAGGCCGACGTAGATCGCAGAGTGCGATCGCTACGGTTTTTCAGAGATCACTAATGCAAGGAACGGCTCTATATAGCTTTCAAGACACTCACTCACCTTATGACGTGGAGCTGTAGCAAGTGGTTGTTCATGCGTGTTCTCCGCAGCCTGCGCAAGAGCTGGAGAATCGCATTCCTTTATAGATGTTGACATTCAACAGATTGATATGGAGGAGCCAAATTCAAGGTGTCAGCAATTCCAAAAGGAATTGCAGAGCCTGGAAATTATCTTCAGTAGAAGGGAATCTCTAACAGCGTCGAAGCGAGGAATACTAAGTGAAAAAAACAATCGAAATTCACAAAAGTGAAGAGAAAACCCCAAATAATTGTGAAACAACAACGGTGACTCAAAAAAAAGGGCAACACAACGTAAATTGTGGCTTTACACAGTGTGAAACTCGGTCACAAGATGCACTCCAAAACTATTTTCAAAAAGATATACTAGAAGCGAAAAGATTAAGCCACCTTTTTTGACCCTCTGGAGAACGCGTGTGTTCTTCCAAATACACGCTTTATAGAGGCCTTTTCGCTGCACAAGAAATTTTTATTAGGCGTTCAGTACTCATTCGATAGCTTAGATCTAAGAAATTCGCAAACTGTTTGGCCTTTGGGAAGGGTTCTATAGAACGTCGTAAGGAAAAAAAAAAGATTACGTTTAACATTTGAATTTATAAGCAACGAAAATATGGGAGGGTATCTAGAATATCATTATCAAAATCCAGGATTTTCTTTTTCTCAGATCAAGAAAAAGACCCTAAATTGATAACGAAAATCCGCGTGCTCAGCGATCATTAGTGGCCCTAAAACGGTTGATATGAATGGGAAGGAAAGCTGTTGATAGGAGAGCTGATAAGAGAAATTGTCTAAGAAGTTCGAAAGGAATTAATCAAATGTGAATGACAACGACAATGCCCTTCTGAATGACATAATCCTAAAACACACTTTCCCAACAACCACTAATATGCTACCTAAGGAGATTATAAGACTGAAAAGTAAATATGCTCTTCAAAACCTTCTCCTTATTTCAAGATTTGATATGCTTCAAGTGCTTATTCGCAGTGTTAGGATGCTCCAGATGCAGCTAAGGGAATCAAGTGGTGAGCGAGAACTCAATCTCAGACGGGACTCGAACGCGAGTTTCACCCAAAGCGGCAGCTCGGGCTACCACTACACCACCGAGGCCATCGATCTGCCACTACTCTTTCCACGATAAATTTTTGATAGCCATCAACCATTAACCCTTAACAGTTTGGTTGGGTAAGCACTAATCGCTTTATAAGACCAGTTAAGCTGACAGTCTGTTTGCATAATCCCCAAGATTTTTCATCACTTGTTGTGGTGGACCTGATGGTCTGATGGTTGCATAACAGTGAATGAAGAAAAGTGAACAGGAGGAAACTGACTGCGTAACTTTCACGTCACGTAATGGATTTCATGTCTACGTGCCGAGATTCCTTAGTGGCTCATTATTCAATCGGAATAAAATCTATAAAACCAAATTTCTTTTCTTCTTTCAATTAATTATTTAATCTGGTTAAAACAGATAAATTCTGGAAAAAAAGCCCTACAGGTTCCTTTTTAACTATGTAGATCTCGTTCTATGCCAATTCCAACTGTTTCGGCCATGAAAAATGGTGTCGCTTGCCGAAATTATGCGCTATTTATTAAATTCCCGAGCGAAAAAAATAGAAGTGAATTGAGCTTTAACGAATGCCTGTCAGTGTGTCGAGATGTGTTCGAACGTTTACACGGATATCACCTCTCAAACAAATGAATGATTGTTTCCTCAGCTGATTGATCGACCGAGAACTAACATTCGCAGAATCCCGTCGACATTTCCCGATGAGGACGATGATATACGACGCTTATATTAGGTGATTCCATAAGTTTTGGCAATGGAGCAATGGATGTCAGATTTATTATGCAGAACCAATGAAAACTGCGCAACTTTGGCATCGCTCAATTGAGCAATTTCTTGCGAACATTTTGATATAGAACATGCCCATACTTGCTTTAAGATGAAGCTGTCGTGGAAACAAATTCGCTTGGAATTCGTGGAATTAAAAGAGCTTCCTGTGGACGACCCAAGCGAGACTGATTCTCCAAACTGTTCTCTCCAGCTTTAAACTTCGCTAACCACTTTCTAGCCGCCATTTCTGCAACCGTATCATCGCCCTAAGCTCCATTAATCTTGCGCTCCGCTTCACTAGCATTTTCCCCTACGCGCCATTCGTGAAGGAGTAACAAGGAATTTGTTCCCACAACAGCTCCATCTTGAAGCAAGTCTCGGCAAGTTGTGTACCAAAATGTTCGAAAGAAAATGAGCAGTTGAATGATACCAAAACCATATAATTTTAGCAACTACTGGCTATTGAATTTGGTGTTTATTGCTCTTGGCCAAAACTTATGGAACGACCTATCAGTATAGTGACGAAGTGGAAACAGTAGAACTTCCATACAGGCCTTATTTATCAACTGCTCACTGGGAAACAAACTAGATCAATAGAAAATCTTCACTTAACCGCTTTTCAAGCAATGTTGTGGTGCTATAACTATATATCTATATTGTTAAGTGGGCTTTTTTGAAAAGGCGCATCGGTCTCGGCAATGTGGTGATTAGCATGCGCTCCGTCCAATTAGGGAAAAAAGTGAGACGTGAGTTTCCAGTCCCAGCTAAACTTCAAAGCTCTACATAACCCTGGGCGTAACTCAATCTATCTTCACAGGTATGGAAAACCTGGTCAGAAGAATGAATAAATAGAAGTCAGCAGTGCAGAGCACCGAAATGATACGAAATACACCATAGAGAGAGCTCCGAAGTGCCGCTATCACCCAGTTACAAGCCGAAACTGAATAATTTTCCAAATTCCGGGTGACAAAAAGAGAGATATTGATTGGGGTGGAACTTCAGTATGCCTGGCAATTATTTTTTGAGCCATGTGGTCTTAGACAGACATTATACGGCCCGATACACGGTTTCGGCCTTGACAGCCTCGCCAGTTGGGCAGTGCCCTTCTCTCTAGCCAATCCTCTCGAGGGGAGGGGAGGCTCATCCCCTACTTAGAGTAGGCGCAGACGTACTATTTACACTTTGCATCAGATGAAGATACCACTGAATGGGTAGTGTTGTACACTCGATTGCTCTAGGCTGGGTATCGTCAAATAGTCGAAATGGCCGGAATGAAGGCCAAAACACTTGTATTGGGCTGTATAAATTTGCCTATAACAGACCGCTCACTGTATGGCTCAAAAAACACCTATCAGGCATACTGAAATTTGATCGAGGTCTAAGAAAAACCCTCGAGACGAAGAAAACTGGAGCTATTCGGTCTGGGATAGCCAGAAGGTTATTCCAGCAGATTAGATAACGTCCTCAGTACCAGCTAAGAGATCTAAAAAATGCTCAAACCGTTAATGCCCGAGAATTTCGCGGATGAGAACGGAGTTCCACATAACTGGCGGTGGGCATTTCGCGAAGGGAAATCGAGTTGCCACGTACAGTAAGTGAGAGGACGCGTAGCAGAGTAGTTAGTGAGGCAGTGCATCGACGAGGAAAGTGAGGTGATAAGCGACACGCTGGTTCAATCCCCTCTCCAGATAGTCCCTTGTAATCAATCAACTAAACGCCTAGGAAGGCCTCAGTTCAGCAACTTTCTGGATTGCTAGGGGAATCGTCTTCACCAGGATTCTATGACATTCATAAAGAAGACGAAACTTGGAAATTGAGTGGTGACGCAAATGTGCGTCGGTGGTGTAGTGGTAGTAGTACGCGTTCCCGGTATGGATGAAACGCGGGTTCGATTCCCGCCTGAGGCCGTGTTTTTGTTCACCACTTAATTATCCTAGGTATATACGAAGACGAGACTCTCAAGCAACACGTCAGACGCTCGAAGCCTTTGTGGAGGGCAGCAGATTGCCCTGGGTTTTTTCCCTCTTTTTTCAACATCTTTATGGAGGGCAACACATAGTTCTGGGTTTATAAGAGAATGAAGATTAAGAGGAAGAAAAGAAATAAAGAGGAAGGAAAGAGAAAGGAAGAGGAGGAAGAGAAAAGGGTTAAAGAAGAGATGAACTTGCGAGAGGAAGCCACCCCCAGCCAGGACCTGGACACGGCGACGTCAAAGTGGCACGTGAAGCTCGACGGGCGCGACGAAGCCGAAAGCGTGTCAGCACCGCATTCGCGTCAACTCGCCGCGCCTGCATCGGTGATGTGGCCGGAGTGTCAATAATAGAAGTCTGCACTCTCGTGGGGAGGCCGGTTTGGGGGAGGGGGGGGGGGGGGGGTTCCACAGCGAATGTCTCTGGGACTCAGGATGATCGAGAGGAGGTACATGACATGTCTCGTTCCCCAGCGGGAGTGGTGGTGGTGGCCGCTGTCGTGTAGTGGTATCACGGGCCCGTCGGTAAGGGTTGGAGGCGGGTTCAACTCCAGACCGGGGGTCGACTGCTTTGCATATCACTCACCAACCTGGATTTGCATTGACTACATCGTAGCACTGTCAAATAGCTGTAAGAATAAGGAATACAATTATACACAATACTGCTAGCACCAAGAATTGTTCCACAGGTTGCTAGCAGAAAGCGTGATCCGGCGGTGTAGTGGTAGCACGCCCTCCCGTAAAGAGTGAATCCCTGGTTCGACACCCGCCTGGGGTCTATAACAATACCTGATAATTGTAACTTTGATTATTGAATATCGTCAAATATTATAGATAATTGAAAAAGGTTAGGCAATGAGTCATAGCGATGGTTAGCAACTTGGGCCGACGGATGGACAGTTTCTTGGCTTCCAGCTGGCGTTCCGAAGGTTTTCAGACAGAGGGCAGACGAAAAACTCTCGGGTTACTGTCAAAGGTCACACCTCTGATGGCGCTTCATTAGCCTCAAATTGCTTCGTAGTGCTAGCCAGCTTCCAAACCCATAGTTTGTCTTCTTATAAAATCCTAGCCGTTCCCTGGCCTCAGTGGGCCCTCTTATCCGTCTGAGAGTAAGAATAATCTCTAAAACAGCCCCATAAAACACTTACGCATCTCAGTGCGTTGTCAATCCTCTTAGAGTTGTCCTCTTGTTTGCTGAAGCACCCCTCCAATCATCTTATCTCATCTCCAGAATGTCGTTCGTCTATATACTCTCCATACACAAGTCAGTAATCTGTTCTCATGCTCGTGGCTTCTAGTTCGATCTTCATCATGGTCTACAGGTTATTCCACGCTCATGGTAATTATGAAGCTCCTCTGCTCGGAGTCTCCCGACACCTTTATCAGTTACGTGCCCGCAAGTTGCTTATTATATCTTATGCATGTAATCTTGAAAGGCCGCTCCTCATAGCGCTTCATCTGTAGATTAGGGAACTAGATCCTCATCACGCTCTTTATCTTCAATCGAGGCCTATCCCCCCGTGCTTATGTGGGAGTATCCTTCTAATACTTTACAAGAAGGCATATCACTCAGCTATCTTGTAGGCACCTTTGTTAATATCGTTAGTTGTTGTCGTGATGTTGCAATATTGTTTGTGAAAATTCGATTGCCCAAGTTTGAGGCTATTTGATTTACGGCAAAGAGCTAAAGTCCCGCATGACAAAAGTTACAAGGAGAGGATCCTCCAAGTCAGTACAATGTCAAATTTTTTGCCTAACACTTGACATCCTTAAATAATCCGTGGGCCGGTAACTCTGACGTTCCGACGGTTTCGCCATTTTCAGAGCCCATTTTCTTTCAAGGTTCTCGTTCAGAGATTGAGCTCAGAACTATCCCCTCGACTGACATCTTAGATCTTATATTTTCAAATCAATTGGCTGTTTCACCTGTCGTCCCGTTAATCGCTGAGTAACTCGAGCGAGCACCAGCAAGGTTTGCGATTTTCCCCTATCGCGTGCCTGGAGTCCTCCTTGCTCCAAGGATTTGTTGAGAATCATATCTTTCTTCGAGGCTTCTCGTGAAGAAATTGAACAGTTGGGTCGGTGGTCTTTCTGTAGAGCGCTTAACATCTCGAGATATCCAGTTGGTAACGGCTCTCGTCCAGAGATTCTCGTCAAAAGTGAAAAAATTCTTTAAATTAATGCTGAGGCTTGATTTAGATCAAAGGCAAAGTCAAAAGGAAGTTGATCTTTTGACCTTTTTCTCCGGTAAGCCGATAAGCTCTTCACCGAATTTCTGGTATTATCGCATATGGTGAGGTATTTGGACGAGAAACGTGGCACTTGTTTTCGTTGATCAGCCAATGATATTCAAATATATGTAAAACTCATTTTGTTATGTTTCCTGTCTGGAAAGGACGCGCATAGTCTAGTGGTTAGAGGTGCTCTGCGGATTAGCGAATACGCAGTTCGACCTCGCTCCATTGACTCACACCAAGGCTTTTATCGCTCCAGAGCAGGCGAGTCGGTGATGGATTTGTTTGCGAGGAGAGCTGCTCCGACTTGTTTCAACAATAAGCCATTGCTAATCACTGTCCAAGCTAGATATTCATTCAGTCACTTCTACGATATATGATGAGGTCTAATCTATGACGTATCCCTCATGGAATGGTTTCATCTGTTGTTCGTTTATCGCTTGTATTTACTTTTTGGCAGAAAGTCATCAAATCACACTCAACCTCCTTGGATCTGAAGAATCGTTAGTATGTCAACACGACAGCCATGTGAGCAGCTAACGAGAAGCTGTGCATCGGCGAATTTAGATGAGAAAATTCTGATGGAGGTGGGAGTAATCCTACAAAACTTACTTACAGAGTCTTTCTCTTTGCGGAACTAATGATAACGAAGTTTGCTGGAAAGTATTAATAAGGTCCACGGCAATCTTCTTGGAAGTGATAGCTGTCGCATTATTCTGTCAGTTATATTACAAGAACCGTTAAAGGTTCAGATCATCTTTGCTTTGGTCGACATCCAGATAATGATATAATCTTTGCTTCCACATTTTTGAAATCGACACACCGTCCAGTCGCTGAGTTGTCGCACAACGCATTGTCCCATTAGAATGAGTCCGGTTACTAAAAAATCCCGATGTCAGTTGTTTCTCATACATTCACGTGACTCACTACCCTGCAGAAAATGCGTTGTGCTCTGCCAATGGATTATTTCTACAGTCTACAGTTAAAAAAGGATGGTGCCTGCCAAGTCAAAGACAAATATATTCATATATGGCCGCTATCGGTCGTCTACTATCTTTTTACACGTTTTTTTTTTCGCTCGATGTGAGTCACATAACACTGAACAAAGAAACAAACCATTTCAGTCATTGTTGCGAAAGTGTTTTGGTACGATTGATCATATCTACATAACTGCGAGAACATGAAGTATCGCGGGAGCACAGTTGTACTGCATTTCACTCAAACAAACCATGAGATAAAATTTGTTTCTGCCGAGAAGATGAAAGCTCTGGAATCGAGAGAACTGGAGGGCTTTAACATCACAAGATTGTCTTCATAAAACTGATTTGCCCAACAGTCGAGGAAGTCATGTGAGAAATGCAATATGATAAAGTGTGACAGAGAAAATCTACAGGTGAAAGACTGGCGATCTTCTCAGTGCTTATAACGTCGTTTTTAGAGCACGAGAAATTATTTATTACTATTCTATTTCACACGACCACCATCACCTTTGCTGTGCAGATCTCGGTACTTCTTCCATGTGATTCGTTTCATCGTATTCATTGTCGCATTAGTCTTTCAACATTTCGGGTGTTCTTTCGATTGCCACTTGAGGAATTCGTCTTCCGCATAAATGCCGTGGAATTGATCAAGTAGAACTCCTTGTAATCTTTAACATTGTCTAATTGAGACGTCCTCATCTGTTAACACGTGAGTACTGGGAAAGAGGTCAATCCAGCACTATGCCTGGGATAACGTTGTGTTCACAAGCATCCTACCACTCGGCACAGCAGCTGCGCCGCGTATATCCTCCAGGATATCACAGCCCCCAGGCCTCTAATTCTGCATGTGAAAAACGCCCACCCCGATGGATATCATATGGGGACCGTGGGGGAAACTCGCCAGATGCCAGAATCCAGGTTCTTTATCATCACTCGTGGAGATGCTGTTAGCGGAGTGTGCATCAAAATACGCTATTCCATTAGAACTACAGAAACGTCCACTGAGTGGCACATGCCAGAGCCACAGTACGATCTGCACGCCGTGTAAGATTTTCATTTTCTATCAATGATTAGACGCACTCCGTTGTTGACCCAGAAACGTGTGCTCTATGACTTGAACGACCGCGATGTACACGAGAACACACCGTGGAAGTGTTTTCCAGGATTGTGTTACATACGGACCCAGTGTGTGTGTACTCTCTACAAACCATAGTGATCTTTAAAACCGTTCTTTTCGCGTGTTTTCTACGGCCACAGCTCACATTTCGATCCGTCAGATAACTACTGTATGTGAGCGACCGGAGCACCGTCGTGTGGCCTGTTAATATGGACTGACTTACTCTGATATGATAGGTATGAGATCTCTGATGATACAAAACCAAGAACCGATGCTGAGGTACAATACTGCGTGTTCGGTAGTCATCTCACCTGATAGATAGATGCGATCACCACATGTTCGTCGTCGCAACTCTAGCGTGGGGCGATTGGCGCACCCACAGAGCGGATTGGCCAGAGACGACAGGGTACCGCCGGACTGACGACCACTGTCAAGGCTTCAGACCCAGCGTGTATCGTCTCTATAGCAGGCTGCCATTTTACGTTCTATGTCCACGGGACTCGCGCAACATCACGTCAAATATCGCGTCCATCTTTTCACGAAAACCAACGGGTTTCTGCATTAGGGTTACACATAGCCACTTACACGCGTTTTGAGCCTGGGCAGTCGTAGTTTGGCCCTGAGATGTGTAGCACAGTGCCTCACCAAACGGGCATCACCCCTCGCGCTCGCGCGAGTCGCAGGGGCTGCTGGTGCGGTGTATCCAGGGAATGAGCGCGCCATGCTGTTGTGTACTGTCTTCGCCAATTCGCATACCCAACGCATATGCTCTGTTCAGTGCTCCACACAGTCGGGGCTGGGTATCCCGAGTAGCGTTGCCATCGTCGTGTAGTGTATGAAGCCGGGCGTTAGCTTGAGCGGTTAGAGGCGACTCGTACCCCCCCTCTTATGGCTTCCCAGCCACGGGTGCCTTTGATTGAAGCGTTGACCGACTTGCCTCGTTGAAATTAGTAGTTGTTTGACTCTTTGGCCGTCGGCGCTGCAGAAGCGTGTGTGTAGCTCATCAAGAATCAGCTGCGTCTGTGGGATAACCCCCTGGTCGCCGCACGGTAAACCGCCCCGTGCTCATAATGGGCGAGTATGTTGTATCTGAATCTTCGCTACTAGAGGACTTGTCATGCGGGTTAATAAGACAGACGCACATATCAGGCTGGCTGAGTATGGACGCAGGGCCGCCATCCACCCTATGTTGTCACGTGACGCGGAGAACAAATTCTCCATGTGATACAGCCCTTAGCCACATACGAAAACAGAGACTGGGCGACGACTGTTAGCCATTAAGCGTTACACAAGTTGGCCTGCCACCATCGATTAATTTGGCGCCAATTAACCCCCCGCACTTCTGGTGTGGTTTGTTGAGACTGGCATCCGACCCCCCAATATCGCGTGTGTGACCATGTGTAGACGCACACACCAGTTACATGCCGGCACTAAGCCTGTGACGAAAA